ATGTCTGTCATGTTCACAAAGTCTGTCATGTTCACAAATTCTGTCATGTTCACAAAGTCTGTCATATTCACAATGTCTGTCATGTTCAAAATGTCTATCATGTTCACAATGCCTGTCACGTTACCAATGTATGTCATGTTCACAACGTCTGTCACGTTACCAATGTATGTCATGTTCACAATGCCTGTCACGTTACCAATGTATGTCATGTTCACAATGTCTGTCATATTCACAAGGTATGTCATGTTCACAAGGTATGTCATGTTCACAAAGTCTGTCACGTTCAAAATGTCGTTCATGTTCACAATGTCTGTCACGATCACAAAATATGTCACGTTCACAATTTCTGTCATGTTCACAATTTCTGTCATGTGCACATTGTCACATTCACAAAATATTTCACGTTTACAATTTCTGTCATGTTCACAAAGTCTGTCATGTTCACAAAGTCCAACACTAATTTTCCCTTTCTCTCTGCGTTGGTGGGTGGCTTTCTAATACACCAGTAAAGTGAGTGAGTGAGTTTTGGCTTTACGCCGCTTTTAGCAATATTCCAGTAATATCACGGCGGGGAACACCAGAAATGGGCTTCACACATTGTACCCATGTCGGGAATCGAACCCGGGTCTTCGGCGTGACGAGCGAACGCTTTAACCACTTGGCTACCCGACCGCCCCACACCAGTAAAGAGTACGATTCCCATTATAATACAAAACTGTTCTCTGGCAAATATTTTCACGTCTAACGCGAGTGAGTAAGAATACATATATGCTGCAGCTTCATTCGGGAGGATTCCCGAAACAATGGTCATTTGGCGGGAACAATGTGCTAACTGCTTGGAGTGCTGATGTGATACAAAAGCAGTGCTTTATATATGACTTGAATTAATTTACTTGTTCGTTGTGCCTCGACAGATAGAACCGACTGCTTTTCCATTTCCCTCTGCGCTTGCGACCTTCATCGGCGTTCACAATGTCATGTTACCGATGTCTGTCACGTCCACAAAGACTGTCACGTTCACAAAGTCTGTCACGTTCACAATGTCAGTCACGTTCACAAAGACTGTCATGTTCACAAAATATGTCATGTTCGCAAAGTATGTCATGTTCACAAAATATATCATGTTCACAAATTCTGTCATTTTCACAGTGTATGTCATATTCACAAAGTATGTCATGTTCACAACGTCTGTCACGTTCACAATGTCTGTCATGTTCACAAATTCTGTCATTTTCACAGTGTATGTCATATTCACAAAGTATGTCATGTTCACAATGTCTGTCACGTTCACAATGTCTGTCATGTTCACAAATTCTGTCATTTTCACAGTGTATGTCATATTCACAAGGTATGTCACGTTCACAATGTCTGTCATATTCACAATGTCTGTCATGTTACCAATGTCTGTCATGTTCACAAAGTCTGTCACGTTCACAATGTCTGTCATGTTCACAAATTCTGTCATATTCACAAGGTATGTCATGTTCACAAAGTATGTCATGTTCACAAATTCTGTCATATTCACAAGGTATGTCATATTCACAAGGTATGTCATGTTCACAAATTCTGTCATATTCACAAGGTATGTCATATTCACAAAGTATGTCATGTTCACAAATTCTGTCATATTCACAAGGTATGTCATGTTCACAAATTCTGTTATATTCACAATGTCTGTCATGTTCACAAATTCTGTCATATTCACAAGGTATGTCATGTTCACAAATTCTGTCATATTCACAATGTCTGTCATATTCACAAGGTATGTCATATTCACAATGTCTGTCATGTTCACAAATTCTGTCATATTCACAATGTCTGTCATGTTCACAAATTCTGTCATATTCACAATGTCTGTCATATTCACAAGGTATGTCATGTTCACAAGGTATGTCATGTTCACAAATTCTGTCATATTCACAAGGTATGTCATATTCACAAGGTATGTCATGTTCACAAGGTATGTCATGTTCACAAGGTATGTCATGTTCACAAATTCTGTCATATTCACAATGTCTGTCATATTCACAAGGTATGTCATATTCACAAGGTATGTCATGTTCACAAGGTATGTCATGTTCACAAATTCTGTCATATTCACAATGTCTGTCATATTCACAAGGTATGTCATATTCACAAGGTATGTCATGTTCACAAGGTATGTCATGTTCACAAATTCTGTCATATTCACAATGTCTGTCATATTCACAAGGTATGTCATATTCACAAGGTATGTCATGTTCACAAGGTATGTCATGTTCACAAATTCTGTCATATTCACAAGGTATGTCATGTTCACAAGGTATGTCATGTTCACAATGTCTGTCACGTTCACAAGGTATGTCATGTTCACAAAGTCTGTCATATTCACAATGTCTGTCATATTCACAAAGTATGTCATGTTCACAAGGTATGTCATGTTCACAAAGTCTGTCATATTCACAATGTCTGTCATATTCACAAGGTATGTCATATTCACAAGGTATGTCACGTTCACAATGTCTGTCATGTTACCAATGTCTGTCATGTTACCAATGTCTGTCACGTTCAAAATGTCGTTCATGTTCACAATGTCTGTCACGATCACAAAATATGTCACGTTCACAATTTCTGTCATGTTCACAATTTCTGTCATGTGCACATTGTCACATTCACAAAATATTTCACGTTTACAATTTCTGTCATGTTCACAAAGTCTGTCATGTTCACAAAGTCCAACACTTATTTTCCCTTTCTCTCTGCGTTGGTGGGTGGCTTTCTAATACACCAGTAAAGTGAGTGAGTGAGTTTTGGCTTTACGCCGCTTTTAGCAATATTCCAGTAATATCACGGCGGGGGACACCAGAAATGGGCTTCACACATTGTACCCATGTCGGGAATCGAACCCGGGTCTTCGGCGTGACGAGCGAACGCTTTAACCACTTGGCTACCCGACCGCCCCACACCAGTAAAGAGTACGATTCCCATTATAATACAAAACTGTTCTCTGGCAAATATTTTCACGTCTAACGCGAGTGAGTAAGAATACATATATGCTGCAGCTTCATTCGGGAGGATTCCCGAAACAATGGTCATTTGGCGGGAACAATGTGCTAACTGCTTGGAGTGCTGATGTGATACAAAAGCAGTGCTTTATATATGACTTGAATTAATTTACTCGTTCGTTGTGCCTCGACAGATAGAACCGACTGCTTTTCCATTTCCCTCTGCGCTTGCGACCTTCATCGGCGTTCACAATGTCATGTTACCGATGTCTGTCACGTCCACAAAGACTGTCACGTTCACAATGTCAGTCACGTTCACAAAGACTGTCATGTTCACAAAATTTGTCATGTTCGCAAAGTATGTCATGTTCACAAAATATATCATGTTCACAAATTCTGTCATTTTCACAGTGTATGTCATATTCACAAAGTATGTCATGTTCACAACGTCTGTCACGTTCACAATGTATGTCATGTTCACAACGTCTGTCACGTTCACAATGTCTGTCATGTTCACAATGCCTGTCACGTTACCAATGTATGTCATGTTCACAATGTCTGTCACGTTCAAAATGTCGTTCATGTTCACAATGTCTGTCACGATCACAAAATATGTCACGTTCACAATTTCTGTCATGTTCACAATTTCTGTCATGTGCACATTGTCACATTCACAAAATATTTCACGTTTACAATTTCTGTCATGTTCACAAAGTCTGTCATGTTCACAAAGTCCAACACTAATTTTCCCTTTCTCTCTGCGTTGGTGGGTGGCTTTCATCACAATGATGGCCACGTTCACTATGTATGTCCCTGATTTCCCTGACGTGGTGCCCTTCACCCTAAATGCACCACTATATCTCACATTGCCTGGTACTGATATTCTTGTACCCTGTGTGTACCATGTACCCTGTGTGTACCATGTACCCTGTGTGTACCATGTACCCTGTGTGTACCATGACGGGTTTTACCAATACTCAAAATGCCAAACACTATTTTGTAAGGTTCCTGTTGATCTCGAGAGTTTGTACCAGTACATACACTGTCTGTCACACATACCCATCAGGTTGCACTAATGTTGGCACCCTCTATGACCCGCTCCACCTGTGCCCCGAAGGGCTTCACAGTCGCCATGCAGTGACTTACTATCTTTGCCCCTGTGCCGCTGAAGGGTGCACACAAGCTGACATTGTCTCTGTCTGCTGAGTATGTTCCCCCAGTGATACCTTTCCCCAATCCTCACTTTGAGTGCCGTAGAGTTGCATGGTCAACCTGTGCCTGGCTCGTTTGATGTTGATCACAGTGTCACTTATTTACGAAATATACGACAAGTGGGAGTTGTTTTTAATACAATAAAACACTGTTGGGAGAATAAACCATGAAGGGTACAGTCCCCTGTGGTTTATTCTCCCTGCAGTGTTTTATTGTACGATCAACTACGACAACGAGTTTACTTCTCATATGATATAGCAATTATTTTAAAAAATGATGAATCTCATTTTAATGTACAGGTGTGTGTGCGTGTGTGTGTGTGTGTGTGTGTGTGTGTGTGTGTGTGTGTGTGTGTGTGTGTGTGTGTGTGTTTGGTATTTTCACATATGACACGTGGATTATCTGCACCTTTTCTCCCAATACCGATTGTCATATCTCTTCCGATTTTGGGTGAGATCGTTCGGCCATTGCATTCATCTGCGCTGCCATCTATGGGGAACATCTCACTAGACACTCCCCTCTGAAAATATCGTCGTCCAATTTACGACGTCATCAGGTTGAGAGCCCATGTTCGAATCTCCAGAAATGACGTCATGATACAACAATGTTTTGTAGTGAAATAAACCACGCTTCGTTCTTCATTGTTCTTTGCGATTTAACACGTAGCTATCTTATATTTGCATTTTCACTTTTACCGTGGCGGGTTGCATGGATGCGCGCAATGTCCGCCAGTTCGTGTGCCCCCAAACGTCATTAGTTAGATGTGTAAGGGCACTTTACACATTTCATTAATTCTCATTCCAGTTGGCAACCAGTATGCCGCAGCTCTGTCCCTGAATGAGTTCATGAGGTCCCAGGGTGTGTCCTATGGCACCAAGGTGATGTGTATGGAGGGAGGGTGTGGCGTGTGTCTCGTCACTACCACACTGTATGATCCCATCACAAAGGCCGTGCAGACCTACACAGTCAACTCGGTACGTCACACAATACGTCATCGTTGTTAGAACATTATACTGTGTATTTTGGTAGATAATACGAGACTGTGCTGTATTCAAACAAAGACACACGAAAATAGTATACAGATATGAATTAAGGCAATGCCAACATTTACGTTGATATTTCTGTAGGCAGTGTCCCATAATTATTAAGCTGGCAATGTCTTAAATACGGAAGCCTTTAAGGTAGGGCCATTTTGTTTTTTATATTTTTTCGATACTATCTTGAAATTTCAAGATACTAAGTTGATATTTCAAGATACAGAAGTTGAAATTTCAAGATACAGAAGTTGAAATTTCAAGATACAGAAGTTGAAATTTCAAGATACTACCTTGGAATACAAGATACTATCTTGAAATTTCAACTTAGTTTCTTGAAAAAATATAAAAAACAAATGGCCCTACCTAAAAGGCTTCCGTATTTAATACATGTATGTCTGTAAAACATTTTCAAGATACTAAGTTGAAATTTCAAGATAGTATCGAAACATGTTTTAAAAAACCAAAGGCTTCCGAACTTAAACATATAACACATATTATTAAATGTCTGATTTTTGGCAGATAATACGAGACATTCATGTCGATATGCATTAAGGCAATCCAAACATTTACGTTAATATGTCTGCAGGCGATGACCCAATATTCACCTGGCAGTGTAACCATAAAACATATTGTAACATATCTTTTGGTTTGGTTTGGTTTGGTTTGTTGTTTAACGCCGCACTCTGCAATATTCCAGCTATATGACGGCGGTCTGTAAATAATCGAGTCTGAACCAGACAATCCAGTGATTGATAGCATGAGCATCGATCCACGCAATAGGGATCGATGACATGTATCAACCAAGTCAGCGAGCCTGACCACCCGATCCCGTTAGTCGCCTTTTACGACAAGCATGGGTTGCCGAAGACATCTAATTTCCGATAGTCAACTCGGTAGGAATGCGCATATGTGATAACATTTCTCGATTGCTTATAAACTAGGTTCGATTTGAAACAGTTGCATGTCCCTCAGTACTTGTATACCATAATCGATTTGTGAAGACTCTTTTTAATAATTAATTTCAAGTCAGCGTGTTATGAATGGATCCGACATTTCAGTGTCTGGTTCCTCTCTACACCTGTGACGGCATGCAAGTGACAACCATAGAGGGTCTCGGCAACCCCAGGGACGGCCTACACCCGATACAAGACCGTCTGGCACAGTACAATGGCTCTCAGTGTGGCTTCTGTAGCCCCGCCCAGGTCATGAATATGTATGGGTAAGATATTCAAGATGGGTATTATCTATGGAAGTTAATAAATGTAGTTAGGTAAGGTTTTCATGATATATGCGAAAAATGACCTCCAATCTGTCTACAGATGTCTGAAGTCATGTAACAAAGGTCAATATATAGCAATACACATGTATATGTATAAAGTATCATTTCTTGAAACGACTTCAGGGCATCGAATTCTACAAAAACGTATAACCTAACATGAGTGAGTGAGTTGGGTTAACGCTGCTTTTAACAGTATTCCAGTTATATCACGGCGTGTCAGCTTAATGTGGGAGGAAAGCCCGAAGTGATGCAGGTCTCAGACGTTTACCACTTCGGTGAAACCCACGAGCATGGATATGGTGCTGACAAACCTAGAAACATAATCGGACAAATTACACGACTGGGCCACCCGTGCCCCCTAACCTAACATGAGTATGTATGGATAAGAATGTAAATACACATATAAAAGTCGCGGCCGAACATAGTTAATTATAAAAAGAACAGGTCCAGTTTGTGCTAACTTTCATTGAGTAACAATATGAGCAGAACATACATGATTTATATATTATTCTATCATGTATCTGATGAGATCAGAAGAGTGTAAGAACTGTATCATAATTGTGTTATGTCTAAACAAATATTGACTTCTTGCCATGTTTCTCTTTCAGGTTACTGAAGAGAACACCCAACCCCACCATGCAGCAAGTAGAAAATGCCTATGACACGTCCATCTGCCGATGTACAGGTCGGTTAGAGTCTAATAATGTTTATATTAATTCTTTACAAACTTAAGGTTCCAATATTCATTAATATGTTATTGTGATTCAAGGAATGTTTACCAATTGTGCAGTGTTCACTTTAACTAGTAGGCAACACTCTAATTACAATATATTAGTTTCATCTTCTTAGTCTATTTCACTAACGGGTGGTCAGGCTCGCTGACTTGGTACGTGTCATCAATGATGCTCATGATGTCAATCACTGGATTGTCAGGTCCAGACTCGATTATGTTACAGACCGCCGTCATATAGCTGGAGTATTGCTGAGTGCGGCGTTAAACAACAAACAAACAAACAACAAACTAATACATGTATATTTATGTATGATTAATTCAGGATTAAGATCAAATGTTATCCTCTTTTTAAATGAACATATTCACGCGAGAGCGTGTGCTCGTTTGATGTCGATGTGTTTACGATTGTTTATAGATGACCTAATTGTAGTCCATAAATGACCCGATCAAGGTGTGTTGAAACCCGAAAGGATATTGACCTTGTCTCGCCCTCGTGCACGATACATTTCCGAGTGAACAAGTGATCACTTCACTCGTGTATAAGCTATGTTCGTACTTATTCTCCTCATGGCATATGAGTACAGATTTATCACACCATTATTATACTAGATATGGACTGTTATCAGCACTGTGTACGTGACACAGATAATGGATGTCGCCGTCTATCGCGAGCTGGCGGTCAACCAGTATGAACACAGTGACGTTCATGTCTATGTTGATTTCTTCACAATGACCTACATAAGTGCTTTTGATATGTGTTCCCTTTTCGATATAGTCGGATAGGCTTATGATATAGTCGGAACCGTGCAATGGACGCTGGTTCTGGCAGGGTCTTTATAGCAGAGTTTCATAATAAGCTCAGTAGCGTTTATGATTTGTTTGTCTGTTTGTTTGTTGTTTAACGCCGCACTCAGCAATATTCCAGCTATATGACGCCGGTCTGTAAATAAACGAGTCTGGACCAGACAATCCAGTGATTAATATCATGAGCATCGATCCACGCAATTGGTATCGATGACATGCATCAACCAAGTCAGCGAGCCTGACCACCCGATCCCGTTAGTCGTCTTTTACTACAAGCATAGTCACCTTTTACGGCAAGCATGGGTTGCTGAAGACCTATTCTACCCCAGATCTTCACGGGTTTATGAACTGTGCTGAGTCAACAAAAGAAATGTTGTTTGGGCAGAGACAGTTACACTTCCACGAACATGATTCTTGAACGTTTCTTTCTTTCTTGTAAGCGTCGGAATATCTGCATTTGTACACAACAGGTGAAATTAAAAATTAACATCTCGTTTTTACTTCTTTGATAGGCATTAAGAAGTTGGAATACTAAGTAAGGATAAGAATTAATGGATGAACAACTCCTTTATTACAATTAACAGTGACATTTTGGTGTAGATTCTAACACCGTTATCAATCAAGTGATATACAGAGTGTGGTCGGCAAGTATATATACAAGTAGGAGGCAATGTTTTTGCCAACCACATCACTTGCTTGATAACGGTGTTAGAACCTACACCGAAACGTCGCTCTTAATTGTAATAAAGAAGTTGTTCATCCATAAATTCTTACCCTTATTTCGTTTTTAGTTTCAACAAAATCAGTAAATGTGCTATGTGTGGCAGGATTTCTGGTTCATCACTTGATTGTCTGCTTTGTTAGCGTGCAGCCGTCCCATGGCAGGATTTGTTTGTTGTTTAACGCCACACTCGGGATTGATGTCCTGTGGATCGTTAGGTGGAATAGATGGTTGGTTGGTTGGTTGGTTGGTTGGCTTGTTTAACGCCGCACTCAGCAATATTCCAGCTGTATGACGGCGGTCTGTGTGACATATGATATAGTCACGTCTTCGTTCTCTTATATAGCCCATAAACCTTCCAGAATAATCTCTATCGCTTCGAATCACACTAACATTCATATATAGTATCTTCATCACCACTGCTTACATCAAATAGTACTACATTCCTGACAACTAATCATTGTCCAAATACAATGCAATGAGCTTCTACCGAATCTCAACAGAAACAGTTAATAATTGTTTAACAATAAAATGCAGTGCCATATATCAACATGTTAATTATGGGTATATGAGCTTTGTACATATACATGCAGGCTACAGACCGATCTTGGACGCCATGAAGTCATTCGCCTCTGATGCTGCGCCAAATCTGCCTGGAGGCACCATTGACATTGAGGTAAAACAAGTTGTTTCGTGTACTCTACCATACTAATAATGTACAAGTGTCGTCCCCAAGGATGTATTGTCCTCCGTTTCAGATCGTCAACAGGTGATGTACCTGTGTTGCAGACTTCCTTACATTTTTTCATTGAACAACGTGACGTTTTTCAGGAACTTGACAAGAAGATATGCAGCAAAACCGGGAAGACCTGCACAGGACGCTGTTCATCTGAGAGACAGACTGACCCGGAGCACGTCCCCCTCCACATTGTGCTGCAGGGGTCACAGTGGTACAAACCCACCACCAGACAGCAGCTATACGCCCTCCTCGGCCAACACAAGGGGGACAACTACAGACTCGTGTTCGGAAATTCAGGATACGGTACAAATATTGTGTTTCTAAGTTAACAGTTTTAAAACCTGCAATGATTCAAGTGTGTATGCAAACACACGTTGGTTGTATGTAAGGCTCTGTGGTTGGTATTTTAGTTTTAACAATACCGTAAATGTATTCGTATTATTTACCCAGGGCCTCTAGTAGAAAACTGTCAGGTTTAATCAAAGCGTTTAAGTAACCCTCTGCAGAATGATTTGATACAGCTTCACAATATCACACAGTTGTGACACATACAATAATCCAGCGGTTCATCGAGCAATCCATCCTTGGTTACTTGGTGTATTCTCATCTTCCAGAGGCAAGAGAGTTAACTGACTTTAAAAGTCCAGTTTCCACACTTGCCGAACTGGGCTGAGATTTCTGAGCTCGATCATAGCGCCACCAGTGGCTGTTACGAGTTATGTCCCTTCTAAGCCTCTCCTATGGACCAATCAGATTCCAGCTCTCGTATCACTTGCATTTGTTTCAAACAAAATGGCGGCGCCGAGTCAAGACGATCACGCCGATAATCAAGATCTATATTATGATAAAACGGATCTTACATCGCGACGTGCATCAAATCACGTGAGCACCTTGATTAAAAACATGAAAACATTTGAAAAATATCTGTTGACAACGAGTTGGCGGTGCACATGCTTTGCAAATCTTGCAATCGACCGAAATCTGTACGACAGTTTCCGGACCGGATTTCGATTTCGTTGCGCGATTTTGATTGGACTATGCATAGACTCGTTAGTCCAGCCAAAATGTAACTCCATAATACCAGCCTAGTTCGGCAAGGGTGGAAACTGGACTTTTATAGTCAGTTAACTCACTTGCCTCGGGAGGATGGTGTATTCTACGTTGATAAATAACCTGGGCATAAACGCGCCCTTTAGCTTCGTTTTGAGCTCGATTCGAATTGTAGGAAGCTCATAATAGCGTACAATGACACTACACTCACAAGCAAGAGAAATTCTGTGCTCCGTTCATGATAAGAAGAATGAAGATGTTGATGTCACTTCTGAAAGGAAACTCTTGTGGCGTATGGGCACAGGGTATTTGACATAATTGAATGGACATATTATATACACTGGATTATTGTATGCATATGGTCAGTATGTAGTCAGTAACGTTGATGAACATGTATTTTGGAGTTTATTATTGGTAATTATTCCAGGGGTGTATAAGGAGATCGGCCCATGGATGTATGATGTCCTCATTGACCTGCGTGGCATCCAGGAGTTCTATGACTTTTCAGTAAGTTTAATTGAAACCACATTACAGCCAGAAATGTCATGGTACCGTAAGTGGTTCCTTTTGTTTGTATAGATCCCCCTGTCTCTATTGCTTGACGGAACAGTGGGCCGATGAGCACCGGGTGTTTAGGATGGTTGACCTGGGTGCCTGTCTGTCGTACCCTTACGACGCTGGTAGTTGCTTAGGCTTTTAATAGTACCATATAATCTATTTTTTTACCGGTCGTCATGATGTAGGTGATAAGCTGAAGAGCAACAGAAAATATACCTCACAGTTTATATTATCATATGTTTTATTTACAACTGGTCAGCGAGAGTATAAACAAAACAGTGTACTGGCGTTTTGTCAGCACTCAAAGAATACTTCCACATAATTTTATTTTGAAAAAATAATTCGACATAAAACTTTTAAAAATTAAAAACCATTTTGTTCACAAAATACACAACATTCTGATGGGTATCTTAGATATCTTATCTTTGAAAATCATACATTTCCTTTTTTCGGCACACATTATAACATTTCTAACAAGGTAGGAGTCGAATGGGTGCACATTGAATTCTTACCCCAATCATATTTGCACGCCAGATTACTCACAGATTACTTTTTACAAACTGTAGCAAAAATGATGGTAAAATAAACGTAATCAAGTTTAACAACAGTTCTTTCAATTCCCAATTACATATAAAAGTAAACGTGGTGTACTTTCTTTTGCCACTCCAGTTAAAAAAGTGAGAGAAGCGTCTCATTAGTTGAAATATATCGTTCATAGATAGGATTTGAGTGAGTGAGTGAGTTGGGTTTAACGTCGCTTTTAACAGTATTCCAGTTATATCACAGGGTGTCAGCTTAATGTGGGAGGAAAGCCCGAAGTGATGCAGGTCTCAGACTTTTATCACTTCGGTGAAACCCACGAGCACGGGTATAGTGCTGACAAACCTAGAAACATAATCGGGGCGAGCCGGGATTCGAACCCACAGTCATAGGTGTCTGGCGTGCCAAAGGGACGCAACTCTGCACAGCGGATCGCGGCGCCTTAGACGACCCGTGCCCCCTCGTAGACTTGAAAGAATGTTTCTCTAAATGCATACTTGATCATGTACCAAATTTGAAAACTGACAGTTTTTATGACGACATAACTAAAAACTTGATTATATATTGTGTTTGGTTATTAGAAAAAGATCGACTTTTCTCTGAAATAACCTAAACGGTTAAGCTATCACAGAAGCATGATGCGTCATCCATGTAACATGACGTGATAGCATTCAATAGATACATCATATAAGTCACTGTTCCAGTACCGTAGAAAGAGAGAGGGCAAATAACATAAAACACGTCCCATTTTAATTCTGGAAACCCAAAAGTCCAGAAACTCTACGGTCTTTTCCCAGTCTCGGTTAAAGGTCAAGAAGGGCGAGAAAAAGGTTTGGCCAATGGGCAGGCAGCGATATTGAAATATTCTCGCCAATGGGCGAGAAAAAGGTTTGGCCCATGGGCGAGAATATGTTCCTTTACTCAAAACTCATGTTTCTGTTTCGCAAATACATGCGGGTGTTTTTACCATTTTCATGGCACATAATGTAACTCAATTTTACTTCATTCAGCTATTTTATAGCGTTTTTGAAATATTTAGCCCATGGGCGAGAAAAGGTTTGGCCCATGGGCGAGAATATTTCCCTTTGCTCAAAACTCATGTTTTAGTGTCGCATATACATAAAGGTGTTCTTAGAAGTTTCATTGGCGAGAATATTTTCCTTTGCTCAACAGTTTTAGTTTCGCAAATACATAAAGGTGGGTCTACAAGCATGACACATGATTCAACTATTTTACGGCGTTATTAAAATATTTCGCTCATGTTTTCGTCAGTCCCTTTAAAGCATCAACTAACCGTGTGCAAAGTATATTGTATCGTGTTAAATATACTTTATATTATATCATAACATTACTATTTAAAGATATACCTGCTGTCGGTCAATTACGATCTACCACACCACGCGTGAATAAACAGTTATGCAGGTGGGCAAACACCTAGCCTGAAAATGTTTATTTTTTTGTGGATACATGTTTTACAAATGTTCGTTGATATGTGGATATATTAAGCACAAAGACAAACAAATGTTTATGACAGATGAATTAGTACCTTGATATATTCATCAAGATGTGTATCATCGTTTAATGGGGTAGGTATGAAATATACAGGTACGCGTGCGCGTATTTTAATGAAAAAAACTATTCGTCTTTTATTGCATAACGTTTGGCTGAATATCTTACATTCTAACGAAATCTCGAAATAATTATTTAATTACATGCGTTGTCGAACTGACCAGTGGGAATTTTGTTTCAATGCGATTGAGGAAAACGTGAGTGAATATTGTGACACAATCGACTTTAAACCGCACAGATGTATCTGTAAATGTGTTACATCTATAGATTAGTATTATATCTACCTATATACCACTTTATAATGTCACGGTACATCGTATTTAAAGAAAACAAGGGGCTCAAAGTGAAGCACTTTTACCGTATTTTCTTAAGAAAATCCAAGTCAGAAGAGTTCCGTCCGACTTGGCCCGTGCTGTCAAAATCAAATTAAACCTCACAGATGTGTGATCAAATGGATTCACATCTATAGATGAGTATTATATCTACCTAAATACTACTTTATAGTGTCTCCGATCGCTGTACTTAAAGAAAACAAGAGGCTCAAAGTGAAGCCATTTCCCCTCTATATTCTCAACATAGTCTCTATCAGAAGTGTTTGGCTTGTGTTGGGTCCGACTTGGCCCGGGCGGTCCAAATCGACTTTAAACACACAGATGTATCTTCAAACGTGTTTACATCTATAGATTAGTATTATACCTACCTATACACTACTTTATAATGTCCCAGTGTACCGCTTTTAAAGAAATCTGAGCCGTTAAAGTCAAGCACTTTTACTGATTTTTCTTAATACAAAATGTCAAAATCAACTTAAACCTCACAGATGTATCATCAAATGGATTCACATCTATAGCTAAGCATTATATCTACCTATATATCACTTTATAATGTCACGGTACATCGTATTTAAAGAAAACAAGGGGCTCAAAGTGAAGCCATTTCCCCTCTACATTCTCAACATAGTCTCGATCAGAAGTGTTTGGCTTGTGTTGGGTCCGACTTGGCCCGGGCTGTCAAAATCGACTTTAAACACAGATGTATCTTCAAATGTGTTTACATCTATAGATTAGTATTAAATCTACCTATATACCACTTTATAATGTCACGGTACATCGTATTTAAAGAAAACAAGGTGCTCAAGGTGAAGCCCTTTCCCCACTACATTCTCAACATAGTCTCTATCAGAAGTGTTTGGCTTGTATCTTCAACTCTGCACAGCGAATCGCGGGGCCTTAGACGACTGGGCCACAAGTGCCCCCGACACACAAGAGACTCAGTAACATTCACGCACCATTGGGAATATCAAAGTAAGTTTATACAGCAAACTACGGTTATAACGAATTCAAAGGGAACATTAATTGTAGATCGTAATAATTTAGTTCGCAAGACAATGGGCAATAGGCAAGCATCGTGTCCTGGAGATGATGGAACCAAATTTCACACCAACCGTCAACTATGGCAAAACTCAACGATCGTGTCAATTATGCAAAGTGTCATTAATTTGACTTGGGGTGTGTTATTCATGATGCAGTGTAATATGATCTGGACAGTAAAGCAGTAGAATAACGTGCAACAAATTATTTATGATAAATTCCGTCGTTGTGTTCATGGCTATTCACAGTGACAAACATAAACAGACGGCAGACTATCGTTGTCACAACATAATATCCCCTTGTTCAAGTTGGCGATATAATTTATTCATCTGGAAGATATTGGAATTCAAACCACAGTGAAATACGCTACACTTCAGTGCATTTTTACAAAATAAATCATATGAAACCCATACCTTTTGCTGATGTGATCACTGCTGTCACGTTGTCATTTCCGGTTTGGTTGTCTCAACAACAATCAGTAACGTAATCAGTGGCGTTGCTTTTCAGAGGCCTATTCGGGTGCTATTGTGGCCTTACAGTAATATTGATCGCTAAGCACGCCGCAGACTCGAGTTCCATTTCAAATGTGTATCTTACTCATTCCAAAGAAGAAGTGTGTCAAGGTAAACACAACAGGTTCTCAGGATTTAGATTTAAGTCCCAAAAGGAACAGAGGCTGTGTGTGTTTTGACCAAACATGTTAATGCCATATAACACAAGGCGGGATCTCAATATCCCAAAATCTAAAAAAATCCAAAAAAAATTGTATTTATGTTAATGTTTTAATTCTTTAGTTACCGCGTCCCTTTCGCGTGTCAATGCGTTTATAGCAGTTCCACTGTTGTAACAATCGTTATATCAAACTGGTGCAGAATCTTGGGGAAATGTAATGACTGCAATACAATCAAGCATGTCAGAAGAGAAATGTCGTTCCTTTTGTGAAACCATTAAAGTCTGTAAGTGATCAATCACATATTCTTATTTGATAATATTTCTTAAGAAAATACAGTAAAAGAGCTTGACTTTAACGGCCCAGTTTTCTTTAAATGCCATACACTGTGATATTATAAAGTGGTATATATGTAGATATAACACTAATCTATAGATGTAAACACATTTGAAGATACATCTGTGAGGTTTAAGTTGATTTTGACAGCCCGGGCCAAGTCGGACTGAACACTTCTGACATAGATTTTCTTAAGAAAATACAATAAAAATGCTTCACTTTGAGCACCTTGTTTTCTTTCAATACGATGTACCGTGACATTATAAAGTGGTATATAGGTAGATTTAATACTAATCTATAGATGCAAACACATTTGATGATACATCTGTGTGTTTAAAGTCGATTTGGACCGCCCGGGCCAAGTCGGACCCAACACGAGCCAAACACTTCTGATAGAGACTATGTTGAGAATGTAGAGGGAAAAGGGTTTCACTTTGAGCACCTTGTTTTATTTCAATACGATG